CCTTTTATGCGTTGGCATACTCCTGACGAAAGGCCTCTCTGCGAGCGGGATCTATCGTTTTGCGGAAATCCTTTTTCATTTTTCTGACTTTTCTTCGCATACCTGGAGATCCAGGATCCACCATGGGACTTTGTTGATTTGGTCTTATGTGACTGTTGCCCTGTTGTATGCCTGGTGTAATATCATCGAAAGTTCCTCTATTATAGAGTCTAGCTCTTCTTTTGTTTGCAGGTTGATAAAAGAGACAGGCTTCCATAATTCTCAGTAGCGTAGCGTAGTGGGAGGGGCAGGGGCTGCCCGACCCGGGCGGCACTTTTTAGGAGGTGGCAAAATTACACAACAAATAATAATAATATCTTGTAAGAATTTGAACCATTTTATTTCATATTTTCGTCCACCTACGACTCGGACCGATTGAAATGAGCACGGAATAGTGTTACCATCCATCGGGATAGTCAGGGAATCGACTCGCCATCCGGGATATCGTGCGCAACCTGTTGACCTTTTACTTTAATTTTATTATTATTTTTTTTATTTTGCTTATACGATTTATTCGTATATATATANTCTCCTCTACTGCTGGTCAGTTACAGTTAGCGACTAAATAGACTTGGATAGGAGTAACGCGAGTGACCTAGCTCTATTGGATATTGGAGGTGTATATATATATATATATATACACCTCCAATATTCAATAGAGTTAGGTCACTGGCGTTACTCCTATCCGAGTCTCCCTAGTCGCTAACTGTAACTGATTTAGAACCAGCATGCACTGCACATTATTCTTCGCATTGCAAAATGACATACGCGTGCGTCAGGAACTTCTATTTGAACAAACCTCACCCGCCGTCCGGGTCGGCGATTTTAATAAGGTAGCAACGCTAGCACGGAATTTTTCATTACTTATTCTGTGACGAAACTGAATTTTAGTCTTTTAAATCGAGATACCTAAATAAGGGGGGGCGAAATTTTCCTCCGCCCCGGGCGGCTGACACCCACGCTACGCCACTGATAATTCTTAAACTAATAACTCAAAAAGATCCCAGTTTGTGCGTTGTTTCCTAATGACGTTGCCTGGCAAAAGGGTGTGTGATATTACGGTCGTTATATAGTGATGGTCACTCACTACCCGTAATTATACATTCCAAAGGAAGCTCTATGTCTTCAGAGGGAGGAAGGTAGACAGACATCACATAACAGTAGAAGTCCCTAGTCTGGATTTGGATGGTACAATGGTTTGACTGCTATAGTTAGGCAGGTACTAAGCATCAATGTTTTTATTGGCAACCACTATAACTGTCAGTTGTTCCTCGATGGTAGTAAACGTTGTGCTTTTCCAGTAAAGCTGGTTTGTTGCCAATGGTGTATGGCTCTCGAATTGTAATAACATCTATTGGCTTTTCCTGGATTTCACTGACTAGCTGAGTGGTGGCTGCCTTACACTTCTGCAGATTTACTTGGAGGAAGCTAAGTTTGTCGTCTGAAGCTGTGTTGGTTCTGCTGTTGTTGGCTGCCCGAGAGACAAGTAGTTGTGACAGTATTATGAGCACTGATATGCCTAGTCTCCATAGTTGGTCTGTAAGATGATTGCTATTTTAATTTTTGGCAGGACTGGGAACCTTGTCTGGAATGAATTGTGGTCCGGAGCGTGCCTCTTTTCACCTTGTATGTTCTTGTTTGTTTCTTAACAGTTCGTGCACCTCGGTTGCTTGTCTTTGTTTTGACACTCGGCAAAGCGATGGTTCTGTTGGTCTGATGGTGCACAGTTGCTACACCATTGTTCATTTCTACAATCCTTTCGTAGCCACAGCACTTAAAGCATCTCTGAATACAGACAGTCATCTACTTATGTTACTCCACGCAAGTGCCACATACTTATTTGTTATCAGTATTCTCCTAATCTGGGGGCGCTACGCTTAAAATGACACGCCTTCCTTCACTTTTCTTTTTTTTTTTAAGTTGTACTTATTCTGCATTTTTGTTGAAATTCCTGCAGACTGGCCTCCTGTCATATCATATTTTGCTAATAGAGTGTTTTGGTAATAGTGTGTTCTCGTATGTAGTCAGAGCCGGACTCAATAGGTGCGAGGCCCGATTGAATTTTTTGCGGGGCCCCTCAAAACTTTAAATAACAAAATTAATTAACAGTTAATTTACATATTGAAATATAGATTTTAAATATTAATTTAAAACAAAATCCAAAATCTAATTATAAAAATTAAAAGTCACGAACCATAAGGTAGACAAATTTGTACATTAAAAAGCCTGTACCAAATATAAATACAACTACATTTGATTGAATATAAACATGCATAGGTATGTTTTAGTATTTTTATATTTTTAAATGAATATAACTACATTAATTTTTGCCACGAAAAATCTTCTAATGTGTTGATGGATGAATATAATTGAATCTTATTGAATATAAACCTGTAGAGATGTTTGTTGTGTAAAATCTTCTAAAATAGTATCGAAATGCAACTGGCTCGCTTCTTGACTCTCAATCGACACGATCGCTAAACCGTTTAATCTATTCTGTAATTTGAAACTATTTTTAAATATATAAATTGTCGTGTCCTGCGGGGCCCGATTGGCGCAAATCGCTCCAATCGCCTCAAATCCGGCCCTGTATGTAGTTCGGAACATTGATCGTAATAACTCGGGCGCCTCCCTTCCGAGACCTTTGTTTTAACCTTATTAGCGAGTTTGGAAATTGCTTCAAATGCTTCTTTGAGAGTATCTCCATCTTTGCGTGACGCAACTTTTACACAAATTCCCTCTCCATTGACTGGTCTGATTGAGCTCACACCGATGCCTAGCTTGCTAGGTTGAATTTTTTCCTCGAGCATTTCTGTAACATCTGTCATGTCTGTGAAATTTTTTCTCTCTGCCCGTTTCAAATACAGCAGGACAGCCGCTTCTTCCCCCGACCCTTCTTTGTTGTACTTCTGTTTGATTGCCTTTGTGATGTTCCTAGCGATGATGCTAGGGATTTTCGGGATTCTAACTGCCTCTGCATAGCTCTTGACCACTGGGGTGATTGTTGTAATCTCAGCTTTGCTCCTCCGATCCTTTAGTTCCTTCAAAATCCCATACATTTGATGAATACATCCATGGAGCTTTCACACAGTGTCGCGAATTTCCTGTCGTACTTTTGTATTTGGGCCAATCTTCAAAGAGGCTGGGCAGAGCCCCACGACCTTTGCCAAAAGGAATGAGGCTTCTTTAACAACCTTCTCCTCGAGTGGTTCCACGAGTACCCCCGCTATCACTCAATCACCATCGTCCTCGGAATTGGTATTTGCACCAGAGTCCGTGGTAAATTAGTAAAAAGTCAATCCAAAATACCTCAAAAAGCTCCGGTAAAATATTAACACGCCTAGATACCCTTAAAACTGCTAGTGATGAAAACCAGAAAACAAAAGAACGTTAAAGTAACCAAAAGGTGTTAAGCACTATGATTAAAATAAAAGTAAGTCGAATTTTTAAAAATCCTCCAAACTGCACCCTAATAAACTGTGGACCCACCCAAAAACCCTTTAAGACGCAAAATTAAACAAAAAAATAAAATAAAATAAGTGAATAAAACTCCTGAATACCGAAGTTCATGGATTTGTACCTGCTCAAATATTGTTGGGGGTTTCACCACATGTCTAACATCTAAACTGGCTAGTTTCTTCCTTGAAAGATTGCACAGTTGATGTGTTGCCTTATTCCATCAATCTAATCCAAAAAAATAAAAGCAAGCTCACATAGAAATTAAGGAGAACCACAAAAACCACTTATACTTGCAATTAACCCAGTCTCAAATATTCCGTCCCACTAATTTCCAGTCTCAGCAGTGGCACATTATAGCTTCATGGGGTTCCAGGTAAATTTGAATTGGGGCCTCCATATGCAATTTTTATTTTAACTATTTAGCATTTTTGTTTGGGGGAATTCCCTGGTATCCTTGTTCATTTTTTAATGCACAATTTGCACAGTGTTAGTGCACCCTGCACTTTTGCCAAACCAATAATCTAGGGTTGGGGATATAGCCAAAATTTAAATTTTGATATTCTTACTACAGTAACAAAGTTATAAAAGATTGGTTTGGGGCCACAGGCATTTGCCCTTTTTTGCACATAGGATAACACACCACTCTGTCTCAGTTTCTGGTCACAANGGCCTTACTAGCGAAGCGATCAAGTGGCCTTGACAGTTGCAACCATGCAAAAAAATTTAGCAATTATAACAATGTAAAAGTTTAAAATCGTAACCGAAAAACAAAAGCCAGGTGCAACAACCGCAAACAAGGACCGTTAGATCATTTAGAAACCGTCGGTCCCGTCGAATAACCGTTACAAAACCGTTAGAATTCAAATTTCCCCATTTAACTTAATGTATTGAACTATAATCGCGATTAACTCCCGAAAAACGTTACTTATTCCCACCCAAATTTAGTTACTACGGTATTTACGTCCCCTGTAAAGAACGAGAAACTAACGGCGTATGCCCGGTGTCGCTCGAACTTTTCGCGGTCGGGGGGATTGGCGAGGAAGAGTTAGAAGAGGGCGATAAAAACAATGGCGTTAAAACCTAAAATGTACATTTATTGGTCAGAGTATTTACAATAACGAAACCGCGAAGAAGAAAATTGCTGGGGCTAACATTAGCGGAGAGGACCACCCGGACACGTTTATCCTATACGACTTATACGTTGTACTTTTGTCACTTTGCCGCGTCAAAACCATCGCACCTTTCTCAAATCGCTCTACGGGATAAGGGCTTTAATTCGATATCTGAACCGCATTTTTATCCCCGGCCGTTTACTCCAACTAAAACTTTTTCCCCTTTTCAATTAAAACATAGAAATTTTCAAACGATAAAATTCTGTTAAGTTTAAAATATTAATACGTATAAAGATTTATTTAAAATTATAAATGATAGAAACTGAAATCGTTATTTAATTTTCAGTTACGTGTCCGGAATCGCTGCTACCCGCTTTATATAAGAAAAATATGGCGGTGGTGCGGTACCAAATGGGAGAAAACGTCACGTCCATTATCAGCGATTTAGCTAAAATGAACAGCGCTCAAATACTTTTGCTATGCGATTGGAAGGCGACAAAATTCATCATACACCGGGTAAAACGGAAATTTCCTATTTCAAATTTTATAGGCAATTCGTTTAAAAGGCGTATTTTCCAGATGTTAGGGATTTCCGTCCTTTGGAAGCGGAGGAATGTCTTTCTAATCGAATTTCAAGAGGAAAATCGCATCGAAGAACTGCGGAATTTGATATTTCGAGATAGTAATTTGCTATTTTTTAATGGAAATTCTACGGAAATTTTAAAACTGGTATACAATGGCAAAATCAATAAAACTTTGATAATAAAGCTAAATGTTTCCGAGTCGAAAACGGAAGCGTTTTGTCCGGATGGAGCAGTTTCCAGAAGCGGCATTGGCTCTTTGGATGGAAGAACGATTAAAGTTGCGCTCCAGCCGGTTAGTTTCACTTTCGTATTTAAACAAATACTAATATAAAATGAAATCCAAGGATTTTTATTGTTTTCCAAGCATTTTCCTTTCTATTCTCGAGAATCGGAAAAAAATTCCGGAGTCGACATCAAACTCTTGGATATTCTTAGCGAATATTTAAATTTTACGTAAGTTTCTAATCTCCGTACTAAAATGCAATTGAGGCTGATTGTGGCGGATGCAAAAATGCGGAAAACGGAAGAGGATAGGACCAAACAGTTTTGAAAGTCGAATTCGTTCATCTTTAAAGGGGTAGAAAATTAACGAATTCCGAAGCGGGACTAAATAAAATTGCCAGGCAAAAACTGTTTGGTCCTATTCTTTTCCGTTTTCCGCATTTTTGCCAAAGCGGTCATCTCGTATACAATCGGCCTTAGTTGATAAAAGAATTCAACTTGGTAGACTAATTACAGGTACAAAATACGGCACTCTTTGGACGGTGTTTGGGGAACGTTTAACGACGGAATGATCGGAATGATACGCAGAGAGGTACGTTGGTTACGTTTGCCGGCGGATAAATGATTGAAATTACCTTTCTTTGGCTTATAATATAAATTGTATTTTGAGGAAGTGGATCTGGCCATGGCGGGAATGACCGTAACGTCGGAACGATCGGCAGCGGCAGACTTCAGCCTGGCGTACGCCTTCGATCGAACAGTTTTTGTAACCAGAGCGCCCGGACAGAAGAGCAAAACTTGGGCTATTTTCTTGCCATTCGCTCGGAAGGTTAGTTACGCGGGGCTCCCGGAAAGTAAAGGCACTAGGGACCCCCGTGTAGTGAAAAAAATCATTATATAGCCTCGGGGCTTTTTGCCCGCCTTCCGGGTGTGGCCGTAGATACCTACTAATTTTCATTTACGGCCAACTTCCGGATAATTTGCTGGGTAAGAATTAAACTTTTATTTATAGACATGGATGGCGATAGCCGTTACCATCGTTCTGATGACATTTGTTTTATCCTTGGTGGAAAACGGTATTTTTCCATCCGTTTGGAGGACAAAGCCTAAGCTGACCCTTTATAATAGCTTCTTTTGGATATATAGAGCCGTTATAAATCAAGGTAATTAATATATAATATCGTTTACTTATAATGAACATTTTCATATATAGTATAATTCTAAATATCGTAACCGATAATCTTCACTGAGGGGGAAAAGTATTCTTCTATACGATTTATTTTCTAATTTGAATTTAGTGCAAATAGATCTTTACCCTGGACAAAATGAAATGCGGCGAAACTGAGAAAATTAAAATTGCTGCAAACACGCGTTGTTACCTTATTACACTACGACGAGTTGAAATGTAAGAAAATACAAGAAATAAAATTTGAACACGAGACAATTATTTTAACGCCAATTTTAGTGAGGGTTCGGACCCGTTCACAGCCTCACAGACTTATCGAAGACTTTATTCCTTGTTAACATTTTCAATTTTTCATAAACGCGTCTCTACTCTGGCCACAAGATTTTATAATAATTAATTATATAAAAAGTTTTTAAACCCTAAATGACAAAGCGTAATTCATTAGTACAGGAAGACAAAGCTTGGTAAATTTTACCACTGTTGATTTTGATTTTATTAATTAGTTTCGTGTCAAAATACCGACCGACAGTAATATGACCAAGTATACCAGTTTTGATACAATTTCGGACACCGAATAATTTATTATAAAATTCATTGGCAGCAATTAACACACTGGTTGGCCCGATATTTCTTTCACGCACGCGTGGTCGCACCGACTGCGACACGCAGTAGTAAAATACAGTAGAGCGTCGATTTTCCGAATCAATTGGGGACTGGGGTTGTTCGTATAACTGATATTTCTGATAACCGATTTATGTACGAAAAAGTAGTTTAACGTATCCGATGTTGAAATTTTTCTCCGTTGCGTGTCGCTTCGCGTCGAATTTTCGTCGATGTTAAGCCTAACAAAGACTATTGTATCGTTAAAAATTATTTTTATTTTGTACAAACAAAATAAATATATTGAAAAATATAAAAACAATAAAAAATTATATTTCAGATGTTAATTTAGTATCAAAAACGTAAAATATTTGAGTAGCCCAAGACATAGCCAAAGATTGAAGCGCCACAGCACTGGCGAAAATTTAAATTTGTCGACTGGAATTCTTTCGGATGATTGACTTTAGGAAAATCGACGCTCTATTGTATTTCTTTCTTTAATAGTAGATGTGACAAATCGTCACTTCGTTTTCAAATGTTGGGTTCCGTTAAATATTTTCTACGAAAAGGTGTAATATAATTGTGTCCGCAAGGGGCGCCGATGCAAAATGATTGACAAACTGGCCGAGCTTTTGCTCTAGGATTAATAAAATATCGTAACAGATGGCTTGGCACGCAATCTTAAATGATTTTGTCAGAAAAGTTATGTAACTGGTTGCTGGAATTTTTTAAAATTTAGTATTACCGTTAAAATGAGTAAAAATCATAATCAATACCGGGTGGACTTTAATGCGAAAATTCTGATTGTAAAGTTAGACTGGCAAAGATTTCGTATTGCATTTTATCTGAGATGGGCAAACGACAGATTGATTGGCGCAGCTAAGTAAGCCAACCCCGGGCAATTTTCGGTTGCTTCCAGCGGACAATTTTCAATTTTTTATTAACGAGTGTACCCCCAACAAATGAAGATTACGTTAGTACATTCGCACAATATTTTAATGTACTTGCGTGTTTACTTCACAAGTCGAAAATTTTTTAATCGTTAAAGCGTAATCTTAACGTTGATTTCGTTATTTATAACTCCTACGCAAATTAAGTCAGCCGTTTCTGAACTTCTCGCGCCTTCTCCCGTAGACAATTGTCCCCTTACGAAGCGCCGAATTCAAAATTTCTTGATAAATTTTGCTTGTATTATTGTAACATTTATTTTATTTCGTAATACAGTATATTAATTAAAATATGGGTGCGAGAGCGAATTCTGTAAATTGAAATTTCCACTTCCTCTTTCACGCCTCCCTTCGGCCGACCTTACCGCGTATAGAAAACAGTGTTGCGGGGGGGTTTGAACCCGTTCTCGAGTTTTGGGGAATATCTGAATCGTAATAAGGATACGTACGGCACTTCGGTGCTCTTCTACTACGTGATCCGGTAGCGACGGGTTGGGATCGCTATCTCGTGACCTAACCTAAGCTATGTGTATATAATTTATTACGTAAAATAGATCGCAGTCGCGTGTCATCTCGCCAGTTGCCATGGCAACAAATTGCGGTAGGCTGTATTGCGGATATTCTCCGAAACTCGATAGCGGGATTCAATCCCCATTGCGACGTTGACTTCGACGGACGGCCCGGTCCACCGAAGGGGTGAAACAAAATTTGAATTTACAAACTTGGCCAATTCCAAAACGTGTTACTTCTTTTTCCCATAATTCGAGAAAGGGGGTCGGGCCCTGGCAACACGGTTTTCTATATTTGGCACGGACAATAAAGGGGTATACCGAAATTTTAATTTACAGAATAAGTTACGACACAATGTAAACGGGTTACTGTTTTTTCTTTACCTTTTAGGTTGCTACGCAGCCATTTCTACTAGAACTAGGATTGTGGTTTCTTGTTGGTGGCTTTACGTACTCGTCGTTAGCACCTATTATACAGCTAAATTGATGTCTTACCTCACGAATCCCGGACTAGAACAACCCGTTGATACCGTTCCCAAATTAATTGAACTTCTGAAAGCCGGAACTTACACTTGCGGTACGATTAAGAGCTCTTCGGATTACGCATTATTTAAAGTAAGTTTTGTAAGGTCGCCGACTTCCGGGGGGAATCGTTAATCCCGCGTCGGGATGATCTAGGGTCGTTCGCGTGTGGGTGCGGCGGAGGAGACACGGACGACAAGAATCTCACATAAACCCGTTTATTTTAAACATAAAAGTAAACTTACACTAAGGAACAAAAATGTTATTTATACAATTGGAGGTTCGAATTGTCGAAGGTGTTTCTAATGTTGCTCGAAGGAAGGCCCCGGGGCAACGGCGGGTGTGGAGATTCGTCGGTCCGAGTCCGTAGTCACTGGTTACCAGTTGGGCACAACCGACGGAAAACTGCTTTTTCGTGGTTCGACTAACCTGTGTAGGTGCACAGTTTTCGGAAAGAAGTGAATCTGGGGCCGTATTCTGGTCACTTATCTCTCTCTCTTCTTTCACCGACGAATGACGTCAAAGCGAGACGAAATTCGTCTCTCATAGCGTGAGTTCTTAGATATTTTTCGAAATATTGCGATCTAATTTCTTCTTAGCTATCTAAGTAAGGTTAACATCATATTCGACAGTTCAATAATTGATGTAGGTAATTAAAATTTTAAAAAAAATGGAATCGGTGACGTTTCCGAGTAGGCGCTGGAAAAAAATCAGGATTTTCTCTCTCGAAATATTCTTTCCCAAGATAGAGAACGTTCTCTAATACGATTGTACAGCGCGAGTAGCATCAAATCGTCCATATTGGATATAACGAAATCGAGGCGAAAGACGAAAGAACGGCCTAAAGACAACTATCCGCTCGTCTGTGATAAACGAGAGAATCGAAGAGAGAAAAGGTTGTCCAGAATCGCGTTTAGAGAGACGCGATGATCTCTCCAGACGTAAATAAATGATCAGCCAATCAGCGATCGGCTTGTGAGAGACGACAGACGAGAGACGATGACCAGAATACGGCCCCAGTCCTCGAAGATCGGGGATTATATCAATCTCCGTTCTTGGTTTTGTTTTCTTCCGATTGGCTCTACGTCCATTTTTGCTCGCTCCCGATTGGTCTCTCGTCTGTCTCTAAGCGAAAGACGATTCCTGTTCGAGTCACCAGAAAGATGCGCCTCGAAGAATCTACTCGACACCATCCGTTATTCTGGATGCAAAATGTCGATGGAACTTCGAAACTCGCGCTCATATTTTCCACCATTGTTGTCTAGTCTGTGACGTTTTTGAAATTTAACTACCCGACGCGATGTCCCTTTTCGTCATTAATCTTTCCTCTTTTTAAAATTTCTATGTTCTAATTATGTGCATACGAGCGACTCTACCGGAGGTCGTTCGTTTACAATTATTAATCATTTAAAATTATTGCGTTCCGTTTACATCAATAGCGTTTTTTTCCTCTCGTCGCGGTTTCGTACGACTAACACAACTAATTCGATCTTTGATCGGTTTTTAACAATAGACGATTTTTTTCTAGTTTCGTTTTAATAAATTTCTAATAATAAATATTTAATTTCAATTCATTCACAGTTTGATTCGTATTTGATTATTTGTATCCAATTCTGTGGACAAATTCTAGATTCTTAGTCGTTCTTTCCATCGAATTTCCCGAAAATTGGCGAAATTTCAATAAATAGTAATAGTACGACACAAATACAGTACATAAACATGAGATTTTGATATGAAGAATAGTTCAAAAGGGTTGCGCGTGGACACGGAAATTTCACGTCCTACGGCTTCGAATGCCGGACGATGCTAATACATGGCTCCTTTTTTTTCTATATGCTAACTGTAAATAAATGTCATTTTCGAAGCTTGGCGTAGTCTTTAGAATGACGATGAACCAGAAACCGAAATTAAATCTCTGCTTATGCGCACGATCTCCAGCAGATGGCGTTAAAAACGTAACGCTTTTCGGAAAACGCAGAGTTTTCTGTATTAGAACCCGATATAATTCTCAATTAACCCACGGCTCGGGGTTTTGAAAATCGAATTTTTAAACTGGTAGAAAATGAACGTATTCGGAATCCGTATAATGAAATTTTAATTACTTTATGCAATTTAAAGTATATCAATGGCCGGATGGCCGAGCGGTCGAGGTGGCAGCTACCGCTCTGGGGGACCCGGGATCCAATCCCCGGGAACTCTACGGGGGGTGGTCCGTTCGGATATGTCGGGCCCCGTCCCTCACCACTCGGCCGTCCCATTGCGGGCCTGCTTTAAGAGGCCCTCTTAGTGCCCACGGGACGGTAAGAATACAAAAAAAATATTTAAAGTGTATAAATAAATCTAGAGCTCCCTTATACTTAACATATATGTCAGAATTGTTAGCTACGAATTATGTACGGTATGGAGTATCTGTAAACAATGCTAAGGACAACGGGCATTTTCTATGAATCCATATTAAATTTGATTCTTCCACTACCTCGAGTAAAAACAATATTTACGTTTATTTAGAATCATTCAAATCCCGTCATACTAGAAACAATGAATTCCGATTCGTCGAATTTCGTGAAGCACGACGTCGAAGGATTGAAGAAATGTTTGGAAAAGAATTACGCATACATCGCTGGTGAATTAACGATAAAAGCGGATATTCGATACGAATCGAAATTCCTCTTCTCTAAGGACACGTTTCGAGTGTTCGGATACGGAATTGCTTTATCCAAACGATTTTGGCACCGGCAATCGTTCGACCACGTGTGAGTATGAAATCACAAAATGTTTTCCTCGTCGCCATCTTTGTATCTGGATTAATAATGATTTATTTGTATACTTTTCAGAATAATTCGCTTATTCGAAGCGGGAATAATTGACAAGTGGATTCATTCGTTGATAGATAAGAAAAGAATGCAAACAATAGATGAGGATCGGCAGAATCCGCTTTGTCTTTCCGACTTGCAAAGCGTTTTTATTCTTTTCATTATCGGATTAATAATTGCCATCATCATTTTTATCATCGAGATTTGTCATAGAAAACGAACAAAACTTTGTTGAAATTTATGTTAATCGAAGACAGGACGCACAGAAGGGGCAAATCGCCCCACATTCCAAGGAAGTAGTGGTCCCACACAATAATTTTTTTGCTTACTTCAATTTAATTTCATGTAGGTACTGATACGTATTTTGCCCAAAGCTCCTCTGGGTGCGTGTCTCGAGATACACGAGTAACCACAGGTGTGTTTTCAGGGTCGTGTCACAAACTCTTTTCAGTGGTGCGTTACAACTTCGTGCGGCCCAGACAAATTTGAATTAGGGGTTCCCGTGTAGTGTTGACTTCAATTTTCTTATAACATTGGTTGGGGAGCCGGACAGTTTTCCTTTTTGCATATAGGGTAACGCGACACCGATTTCTTCAGAAAACGGTCTCACTGAACAAGTTAGTACTACGTGATATTCTTATACGTTAGTGTTTTTACTTACGTAACTCGAAACTAGGCACCCTGGACTAGGGTGACCAGATATTTACATAGTCAAAGTAGAGCATTTGAAGTTTTATAATGCTTCCCAATAGGACATTTGACAACCCAGCTTAAAACAATAAAAATTGGTAGTAAAAAAAGCACAAAACACTAAAAATTGATAAGTAAATAATTTTAAATTGATATACTACTCTTGTTGTTTTAAATGCTACTCTTTGTTGCAATTGTACCGATTATCTAAATATATAAAATTACTTGTCCTGTCTGTCTGAGTCACTGATTGATTCATCATCGCCCAGAGCAAACCGCTGGACCTAAAAAGATGAAATTTGGTACACAGGCACACTATGAAGGGATTTTTCGAATTTCCCCGCAGGGGAGAGGAAGAGCATTAAGGCTTAACCGGAAAAACGGCTTCTACTGTACTATTTTACTTGTTAGATGCAGTTTTTTGTTTTTAACTGCGTTTAGTCTTCATTGAGTACTTAGGTGTATTAAATTGATAAAAATATTTATAACAATGTCTGAAATGTTATCTATTTCGATTTTAAAAATGTTCGAACCGTTTTAAATTCGAATTTGTTATCGCGTATTGGTTCGATTATAGAACGATTGTAAACGTTCCAGAAAATTGATCAAATTGAAAACAGTTCGTTTGATTCTGGGCGGTAGGTGTTATATAACAATTACTATGGTCGTTGAAATACTGAATATAAATGGGGTTTGCTGGCAAAGCCGCGGGTAACAGCTAGTTTAATATAAAAAGATGAAAAAAAAGTTTATTGTTATTATTAATGACTACCTATTGGCCCAGTAGTAGGACGGGTGGTCACCCTACCCTGGACGGTCCCGACTGAAGATTTCTATTAATTTGAGATGGTAAATCATTGAAGTGATAAGAATAAAATGGACACAGACACTTAGGCTATCAAAGATACCTGATTTTTTTCTTTATTAACAAAAGAAGCGGTCTATTTTAGATATTCGGGAATTTATTGCACAAAAATGACACATCTGATATGAGTAAAATTCCAAGATTTTGTTTTCTCGGATTAAAAAACTAGTCAGAAACACAAATTCAAATTAAATTATTTACAAATAAATGTTTACAATATTAACCCAAAAATATTATTGTACAAACAAACAAACAAGGCGGTTCTCTGTCACGAGGATAATTTAAAATAACGTTCTGAATGTAAATGAAAATCGTTCTTAAAGATAATTAACTAAATGTTGATTAAAGTTGGTGATGATCAAACAGCGATAACATTAACTCGCGCTCAAAATGACAATGTTAGCATTAATTAACACACCCGTCGATTTAACTGCTATAAATTTGCAATTTTTATCAATCGTAATACGTTATTTCAATGTCGAATATTCGAACAATACTAAAATTTAAAACGTGGTATAAACACGTGTAGAGGTTAAAGGACTCTAATGGCTATTATCTTATACCAGTATTAATATAAAAAGGCAATGAAAGTCGATGTTTATCTTAGAGTACACGGTTTCTTAACTGTCAAGGCAAAAAAGAATCTATGGTCTCGCTACCAGAGGAGGAAATCTCAATGTGAAGTAAACAAACGGAAGCAATGGAATGTGGCTCAATAACAGGATGGCACGTCAGAAATTTGAAACATTCGTTGAGCAATAGTTTTCCCCTTCACATAAATCGTGAGCACACTTTTCAAGATGATAGAAGAATATCGTTTCCTTTTTAATATAACATACCTAAAAAACTTTCAACAAACATTTCTATTGTCCAAATACTCAACACAACAATTTCCAACTAAAAAACAACAGCAAATTGAAATTTGCATCATCATCATCATCATCACAAAACAGCATCGATAATTATCATCTTTAATTGTTTAAATCTGAATTCGAAACGCATTACCTTCAAATTTCTTTAATGGGATTAACATAAAACACGAAATTGTGCCCAAGAATCTGGTGGTAAGCTGGGATACTGACAGACTACGCAATATAATAAACGAATATTAATTTAATATGAATTATAATAAAGAACAGATCGAAAAGGTGTCTTAGAGCTGGAACTGCATTCAGAATTAATTACTACTAAATCTGATAAAGTTGGTTTTCTATTTTAATAAGAATTGCAAATATGAATTATAATAAAGAAAATATCGAAAAGGTGTCTTAGAGCTGGAACTGCATTCAGAATTAATTACTACTAAATCTGATAAAGTTGGTTTTCTATAGTATTGACTGGGTCACTCCGGAGTTACCGTTAGGAGTTTCTTCAATACGCATATAAATATTTTAACTGCAGTTTGTCTCTTCACGCTTGAAGCGTGTGAGTTCGAGTGAGTCTAAGCAGCGAGTAAAAAGCAACAACAATTAATTTCAAACAGAAAGCAAATTTTCCAATGATCACCAGAAGAATTTTCGTTTACACGCGTTGGATTTTTTTTTTTTTTTTATTTGATGTTTCGTTGTGCAAGGGTCACCAAGGACACGCAGCATTAACCATATGTTTAAAGTGTAGGATATGTATATATATAATAGCCGAGAAAATAGAGACCGTAAAGATTTTTATTAATGTGTGATCTGCACAAATCAAGTTTGCCATTTAGAAACAGTTCCTGCCACACTATGCTGCCTCAGTTACAACGAAAACAAATTAAACTTGTTTATATCCTAAGAAATATTTCAGTTTGCCTACTGAAGAATTTAATAAATCAAGTACTAATAGTTTCAAGTTATTTNATCACAGAAATAACTTTATATATATATTTTACAGACAATTAATATATTTATAAAGTTAACAAAATTGTCTATAAAAACTAACACTTATGATATTTCTGTACAATAGGTTTTTAATATCTAAATTTCTATTAAAGGCAATAACCTGTCTACTTCAAATGCTTTTAGTTTGACATGTTTTCAGATTATGGAAGATGAGTTGGAAGAGGATAAAATTTATACAAAATTTTCTGATACATTTTTTTATGCAGTTATTCATCTATTCATAAGTAATTTCTAGTCAAATAACAACAATACAATTATTTGTACATTGTGTAATCTATATAAAACTTTTAAAACTAACTATTTTACAATCAAAAACATACATTAACTTGAGATAAAAACAATCATCTACATAAAAAGATTTGGAAAGAATATAATAAGTTTGTGTGTGATTTTGGCAAGTGTGAAAAACAAAAAAAAAACTTAGTTTTTTCATTTGGCACTGGAGAGAAATTCATGTAGATTTCATGAAAATAATCTTTTCTAAATACATTTTGCTAAACTTTATACATTAAAATTAACAAATCGCACGGGTTTATCCGCGCGGATCTCTCGTATAATATTGTAAAATCACAGCCGTCACTGCAAAGTTCGTGTATTCCCATAACGCTATACATTATTGTCCAACACAAATCACAAGATTTTAATGCGTGGCTACCATAATTTTTTTTTTTCAATTCACTGACTAAATCTTTGAATATTACCAAAATACTTTTAAAAATCAGAATGATTTTCCTTTCTTTGACTACACTAATATATGATACACAAATATTAAAACAAATATACATATATATATTATGTAATCTATATATGTATATTCGGCACTTGGAAAAACTCCTAATTATACTTTGTCGATTAGAGTCCGAGACGAACGGGGGAGACTTTTCCCGTGTTAAAATATCACACAAGTATTCCGATAAATATAAAATTAATTGTGCACTACGATTCTTTTAACATTCAATTAAAATGATATTTTAACAATTATTAAGTGGTGATTTGTCCTGTAAATCTGGCTGCGAAAAATATCGTTCTATCAAAAAGTCAAAAAACGAATTGAAATAAATTTTCAATTTCTTTTTAAATTAGAAATGTTTTTATAGCAAACTTATTGAATGTACTGATTTAAAAAATGAACTTCTTACCGATTAATTGGACTTGAATATCTGTACAATGTGAAAAAAACTACCAAAAAAGGCAGTTAATGGCTGGGAAACAGAAATGACAAATGCGATTTCAAAGATAACAAGCAACGATGACTTCAAAAAGCTGAATTCTATACATGATACGCTACGCACAGTAAATCGCATTGTCCTCGAAAGGACCTAATATATAACCGAATTGTACTCAACTTTACAATATACACAATATATGAAATATGATGACGGAAGGATTTTTAATCATTGACTTCGGAAACGTACGTAAGCGGAAAGTAACCAATCTGAAAATAAATAAATAATTTTTTAATAATACAAAATCTTTATTTAAAACTTTTAATCTTTAAAATCCTTAATTATAACGCTATTTGAGATAAATTTGGTAGTCAATATATTTAATTGTATGCTTGTATTCCTTTCTTTAATTGTAAGATTAACAAACTAATGAGTACTAAAAATACATTTTTATATGCAAGGTGTATAGTAAATTCCTTATACATTGATTTGTATCAGTGTACAAAAAACTTTTGTGAAAAAAATTGAAGATATGTACTTTACAACTCAAACAGAATTTTTCATTCGTAAATGACTCCATAAATTATAAGATTGCTGACTTGTAAAAATATCTAAAATTCATCTGAATTCATTTACTTTTCTCTTCACAAAGTCCGACAAACAGATTCACAATTGTGCAACTTTCTAAGGGATGAAAGACTCAAAATTCTGAACATAAACTAAGCAAAGTTTCTTTCCTTCTTTTTCGTTAATGACTGCTTGTTTTAGAAACCTGTATACTGCATTACATTTCTAACAAGTTCATTTAACTTTGTGAAGAGTCAAGTAAATCAGACTTGATTCATCTGAAATTACTCAGATTGTAATAACTAAATATCATACTGCATAATACAGAACTTACAAAAATATTACATATGTGTAATATTTTTGTAATAGTTTGTTTTAAGATTATAAAAATTTGAATAAGTATCCAGCAGCCATAGTGAGGGTGTAGAAGAGCTGCACTCAGTTCACAAGCTGCAGTTTGATCACAGTGGTAATGTAATATAGTGTATAATATGAATAGAGCATTTTAGTAAACATATTTGATTATTTTAACAGCAGATTGACATTTTCAGAACTTATCAATTCTGTCTTCAGATCTGACAAGAAAATTAAAAAGAATAAATAAATTTTGAAAAATTTTAATTTACTTGTTCTTTCTCAGATCTGAGTATTGAATTTGTAAGTTCTGAAAACAAATCTTCTATTAAAATTTTGCTTTCTACACACTTTTTAAATGTTTTCAAATTCTTTGCTGTAAATAAATTTAAAATCTAATGACAGGTACTTTTAATTATAAGTTCTGATGTTGTAGATCTTAAAACTATAAATGTATTTTACAGAATTAATTTCAAACATTTCTGAGGAGATTGAATGCTCCTAACATTTTCCAATAAAAAGTAGCTACTTATCATTAGATTCTGAATAATTACCAAAATACTGTTTATCGGGCTCTCTGGTTTATCTGGAATAAGAAAGATAGACACACAGAAAACCTATACACCCGAAAAAATCAAAGAACTAACTTGTAAATATTATAGTACATTCTTGCCCTAGTATAATGTTGCAGCTGTAAGAATACTGTTTTCCCTTGGATCAATGCCTATTTTGAACACCTATGATTTAACTGAGGAACTGGCAACAAAAATAAATACAGTACATCACAATTACTTCAGTTCAATTCTGGTATTTTTGAAACCATGCCAGTAATTGTTTAGTAATTCAAACACAAAGCATTTATTGTATTCATTCAGACACTTAGCAAATCTCATCATTAAATTTTATTTAGTAGATATGTTGTATACGTTTCAGGCATTTTGTGCCCCTCCTCGACCAACTTTAGATTACAGATCACCGAAAGTTAAAACTATAAAATTCCTTTGCACATTCAACTTGTTATCAATTAAATTACAGATCTCTGTAAGGTTTGAACCTTTAAAACTCCGTTACACATTCAACTTCTTATTATCTTGCAGTTTTTCTCTGTAATTGTTGTTTTGTTGACCTTTATGCATCTTCTTCTGATGATTATTGTTGTTTCAGTTTTTGTACACGAAACGTGTACAAATACGATGAACACGTATCAACTAAATAAAATTTAATGATGAGATTTGCCAAGTGTCTGAATGAATACAATAAATGATTTGTGTTCGAATTACTACTTCAGTTCAAATTAGTTCTTTAATTTCCCTATGGAGCGCTAAGCTAATTACTGGTTGACTTTTAAAAAGGTCATAAAGAGCAGTTCTACCCAACACAAATGGCCAGAAAACTTGATATGTGTACTGTACCAGCTGATAGAAAACAACAAACTGATACTGTATGTAGATATGTCTTTTGCTTTATACTGTTAATATTGTTATAAAAGTACTGTATATATAATGTGCAATAAATAAAATGTAATGTACATCTAAACTGTGTTATTTATGTTGTTTACAAATTTTCCAGATTATCCAAATTTTTGGTCATCTGGATTGGGCCTGGTCCTGTTTGAGCTGAATAAACAGGGTCCCATTGCAGTATATTATATTTATATTGTATTAATCACAAAAATAATTATTAATAAAATGTTCTTTCTATATGACTGAAATCAACTTTCAGATGAGATAAATTTGCTCTTTCAATAAATTTTGTCTATCAGATGTTGAAAAAGACTACATTAAGTAATTTTTGAACTGATTAATCATTTAGATTTTATTATTATTAAGATATTGGTTTCATTTCATTAAGTAACTTGAATCATATCATAATAGTATCAGAATTTGTTTAAGTATACCAAAATTTTTTCACCTATTCATGGAAGTTCAAAAATTGGATTATATAATCATTTCAAATAAATATATATTTTTTCTATCTTGTTCCTAATGAATATGGACATGTAAATAATTTATGTATTTAAAATTTATATATGATGCGTAATACAGAAAAAAGTCAGTTACAAAATTGTAGAGCTTGACCAATTTAGCATGAAAGGGCACTGTGTATATAAACAGGTAAATACAGAGCACGAAATGCTAATATGTACATCAAGCACACACAGAAAAATGTGTGATTCTCAGGTGTTTATTTATAATGTGTGTTATTTTTCTTATTTTCCTATGTCTTCATGCCACATTCATTACTGAATGTCATATTTGTGCATTACTCAAACACCAGTGTATAAGGTCTTTAACGTGCATCCTGTATATAACTATTCTTTACAACATATTTAGACAGAAAGAATTAAAGAAAGAAGAGTTATTAATATAAGTAAATTTTAGATAAATAAACATTTCTCATAATAAATTTTGTAATAGTTATAATTATTATTATTAAAATTACAAATCATATTAAACTATTCAAAATATTTAAATATTCTATGTTTTAACTATAAATACATTAAAGAATTGTACCCTTTCTCCTATTTGTCCTTTCCACCAACCCTTTTTTCCACCTGCTTTGCTTAAAATGGTCACTCGATCACCTTTCTTTAAAGCTAACATATTTGGAGTTTCAGGAGAAAAATTGTATATGGCTGTAGCATAACCCAAAGGCTCTGAAATAAAAAATTTATGATTTTTAAATTCCCCAATTTTATTTTGGCCAGAACATTTAGAGAGGGGGGAAAAAAACAAAAATGTTTGGAATTGTGAGAATGCACTGTATTTTTAAATAGAGCTGGATCACTTTTGGAATAGAATAATATTAATTTTAACTATTTAAATCATGGAATTTGACCTAAAGTAATTGAACTAATTATAATTAGGTTCAAAAAGATGAGAAATAATGCTTAATTCTGGAAACAAAATTAAATTTATTTGGGAATGTTTTCATTCTTTTATAAGAACATCATTGGCTGTGAAAATTATCAAGTGCATTACAATGAACATATTTGAAAGAGAGAAAATTTTAAAGCATTAGATAATTTTCACAGCTGATGATGTTCTTATAAAAGAATGAAATTTTTTCTGAATAAAACTTAATTTGGTTTCCAGAATTTGGCATTTTTTCCCATCTTTTTGAATGTGTGTCAAGTTCAAATGTTACTTTTGTTAATAATTAGCTTCATTCTAGTCTGAAAATAATCCAGCTTTTGAACATATGATTATTTATCCAATGCTGATATTAACATCAACATTTGTATTCACCATCCAGGATCAAAACTGAAATCACAAGTTAACCAATTAGCATTTGTTTTAAATATGTGAATATTTGTTTGGTTAACTTTTGACTCTGGCTGTTGATTTTGGTGTATGAGTATAGACACAAACTCTCAATCTCTTATATTCAGCTTAAGCTACTAATAAATAAATAAATACTATACACAAAATTAATACTAACTATTAATTTTTTAACGCAGAAAGAAAAGTAAAATCTTTAAATTCTTACCTACGTTATTGGATACAATCATTTTAAATGGATAAGATAATTTACTATTTAGACCATGGAAGCTATCAGCCAAACTATTTTCTTCATACCATTTTATTAATTCCTTTAAAAAATTTTTTTAAATTATCATGAACAGTCTCTACTTTATTTAATACTAAATAAACATTCTACTTACAACAACACTTTTGAAATACTTTGATTCTGATAAATAATACAGCTGGCCACCTTCTCTCGTATATACTTTCATATGCTTTACATTGTTATCGTAACTAAAAATATAATACTTACATCAATTAAAAGTAATTATGTGTAATTAAAATGTGCATAAAAGGTTTAACATTACTGTTTCCAATATAGTTTAACAAGTACAACAAAAACCGTATTTGGGATGCGACTGTCTCAGAGACTCACTACTAAGCGAAATCACTTTGATGCTCAAGGTGGGTCTCATTCTCATTCTCCAATCTTATTTGGTATCACTGCTTTTGGGCATGATCATTCAAACTTCGCCGGCCACGACCACAATGCATTTTCAAAAACATTAACCTATCCAATTTCAAAATTTCTCTCCATTGCGTGTCAGCCCGGGTTGAATTTTTGTCGATGCATAACGAAAATCTCCCATTTTTGTAAAAAATAATCGTGGTTATTGTATTGTCCAAAATTATTTTTTTATTTTTCACAAACAATATAGAGTTTAACCCTATTATAATGTCATTGAATGTAACGACAACCCTAATATAACATCAAACTTATCGGTCCTATGATTTTACTATACTAGATAATGTTAAAAAAAAGTCCACTTGTAACAACATAAAACCATTTTAATGTCATATTTGAAGCACTCCCAAATTCACAAAATTAGATTACAAATTTTATTTAACATAGAAAAAACTACATGTTCAGTCCTAAGGTCAGAGTTTACTTCTTAGAATGACTGTGGGTGGTACTCTCCCCTACCTGACTTTGGTGGGGTGAGGTGCCTGTTTTGCCCGTTTGTAGAAGAGGGTTGCCATTTTGTATTTTATTTTGACTCTGTTCTTGGTCCCCCGACTACCTACGAGTCTGGATATTTTTATGTGCAAATGATTTGGGCACCTAATACTCTGTGCCAAATATCAACTCTCAACATGTATTCCTTCATACCTCTATGCTGATAACATAAAACAGCAGTACGATTTTATAAATAAGACATAGTCTTGTCAATAACAGTTATGTATTATAACAGCTTAATAATATAACAGTTTCATTTTGTTGTTATATTACCAAGCCATTACAAATATATGTTATGTGTATATATGCCAGTGAATCAGATAAAACTAGGATTAACTGGCTAATGCTAACTTTATTTAAATCTTTCCACTAAAGCACGTAACAATCTATTCATTTTGAACTTTATCTGTATAATGCTTTAGTCAACTTACAAGTGGATAAAGCTGAGATTTTCCAAAAATGGATGGATGAAGCAAAGAGGAAAAGTTAACTTAAAATTTGTGCTTTATCTAGATCAGAGTTTCTTAAAATAGGGACAATGGGATGGACTCAAGAGAGCAAAAGTGACATTTTCATTAAATAAAATAGCTTTGAGTGTAATGTGATATTATTATTATAAGGTATGAAAAAAATTAAAAATAAAAAATACTATGCAGAGGGAAATTTAAACAAGTTTACTCAATGATCACAGGGTTTACTGTACACAGGAAACCATGATTTAAATCTATTGTATTTTTCAAACTGTGACCGCCTGGCAATAGCACGAAAAACTTTAAGAACAACTGATCTAGATAGTGTACAGTTTTCTTCTTTGCTTCATCCAACCATTTCTGAATAATCTCAGCTTTATCTGCTTGTGATTTGGCTAAAGTGCTTGTGACAAATAAAGTTCAAAATGAATAGATTGTTATTTGCTTTAACCAAAATGCTTGGTTATTCGCTCTGTTTTTCGCTTTCGCTAGCGAATCGCGCTCAGTATGAACTAAGCTTAACATACATGCACCAATGATACTTCCAATAACTGTTGATTGTTGTTTTACTGCAAATATACCCATGTATTCTAAGATACATCTGTGAGATTGCAGGTTTGATGATGTGAAAAATTTAGAAAATTTTTGTAAGCTGAATTCTCCATTGCAATAGTTAGAAAAACATCGCTTGAAAACAGAGTGAATGACACACTTCCAGTGTTCAACAAATGTTAGAGATAGCTTCTTGATAAAGCACCGAGTTCAGAGTTAATACGATTTTTCTTATATCGCAAGTACTTTTGACGAGTATTATATTGTCGTCCTGTGAGATAAGCGCGAATACCGGAGACAAAGAAACACAACTTTTATGATATGAAATTCTTTAATTCGCGCACAGAATACCGAAAATGTGGTTCGGATGCCAGCTACAATCTCTACCCTCGAACATTTAATTAATTTCTGTAACAAAAAACATTACGGACCAGTTATGTAACGCGACAATCTCGTAGTTTAATAACTATTCTACTTATATACTATACAATTATACCTTATGACTAAGCTTACGGCTAATTATTATATTCTAAAGATGAAAATTAGGTCTAAGGTAAGATATGAATTGAAATATAAAGATGAGAGAAAAAGGAAGTCGGGTACCCAATGATTTCGGTGTGCTTCACGGGGGATTGTAGTAAGTGGGGGTGAGCCTCTCGATCCACGGCGAAAGATAATTCCTTCCCTGTGGAAGTTTTCTTGGTCTTCACTATACACTTTAAAACGCACGAAAACCTCCTTTTCAGTTTTCGATAGCCTCCGTATTCTTTTCTCCTCGAAAAGTCCGTTTAGTCTCCACTTGGTTCAACAACCCAAGAGCCTTCTTCACATGTCTTTTCCTGTCCTCTACTACCTCTAGAATGAACTCTTGGACCCCGTTATACCCTGAGGGTTACACACCTTCCCCTTTGTTACACAGGGGTCACCTGCTGTTACACCGTTAAACAAAAGTAGGGAGAAACTTCCAGAAAGAAAGACAATAGAAATGAAGACAAAGGGAAATATATTTAATAAAAATATAAACTATAACTATACAATTATGGCATGTAGCCACAGTCCTCAGGCAAAAAAAGAACAAATTTGAAAATTAGAACGTGCAGAGTGTTCCAAGTAGAAAACGGAAATTTTTCTTGTCAATTTCTAATCGTATTAATGCTGAACTCAGTGCTTTATCAAGAAGCTATACAATTTTGGCATAAGTTTTATTTATTTATCTATTTCTATAAATGTTAGAGAATTCTAACAACAGACTGTCAAACGATAACAAGTTGATGTTAAGAGAGGAGAAAGTTAAATGTTGATTGAATAAACAGAGTAGTCTTGCAAGTCCACAACCAAATATGGGCATGACAGCTGCAACCAAGTGACATCTTTAAGTCACCTCTGAACCAACACCTGCAAAATCAACCTTTGTCTCTAACAACAGCAGATCACATGATCAACTTTCCCAGGCCAACGAGGATAAAAGGAGACAGAAGTGAAAGTTTAGTGTGGAGTACCTGGAAGAAGTGGAAATACATAGACGTAGATGAAGGTAGCGAACATCCAGAGTAAAGATAGAGGAGTTCAATCCACCAACTACCCGGCAGACCATACGCAGTGGACCTTGGGGGACCTATTCCACGTCAAGGGAACAACGCCATACAGAACCTACCAATCCAACTTCCATCTGTCACCAAGCAATCTCCAGACAATAACCATATACTCTTTCATCTACTGAGAAGATAGCATTCTCCCTATGAGGTATTTCTGCTAATTGGCATTTGTAATTTGGTCGGATTTGTCTTGAGAGATCGCATCACCAATTCGAGATGCAATTTCTCAGATAAGCCTGATACGCACTTGCGGCATAGGTAGTAGAATAGTCAAGACGCATTGTAATATTTGATTAAAAAAAAGTCCACTTGTAACAACATAAAACCATTTTAATGTCATATTTGAAGCACTCCCAAATTCACAAAATTAGATTACAAATTTTATTTAACATAGAAAAAACTACATGTTCAGTCCTAAGGTCAGAGTTTACTTCTTAGAATGACTGTGAGTGGTACTCTCCCCTACCTGACTTTGGTNATACAGAACCTACCAATCCAACTTCCATCTGTCACCAAGCAATCTCCAGACAATAACCATATACTCTTTCATCTACTGAGAAGATAGCATTCTCCCTATGAGGTATTTCTGCTAATTGGCATTTGTAATTTGGTCGGATTTGTCTTGAGAGATCGCATCACCAATTCGAGATGCAATTTCTCAGATAAGCCTGATACGCACTTGCGGTATAGGTAGTAGAATAGTCAAGACGCATTGTAATATTTGATATTATCTGTATGTAATTGCCATATTTAGTCATATAGCATGTATTTTCTCACGTATCCTAGCTTAGATATATATTAAACTTTTGTTATGTTTGTTAAACTTGTTTGCCTGTCTCTCACTCAGGAAATGGACACCCTCTCAACTTACCTGCACGCACTCCACTCAACACTTTAATTGACCCTCCTAATCATCATTTAAGAATCGTGAATTAGGATGCGATTTAGTATTATCCTAACTGGTGTCAGTCCCAATGTCTGACGGATTTCATCAACCTGCCGACTCCCCGAAAGCCATCCCAGAAAACAAGATCGGGTCTCACCGACCTGTTGCCGAGTAAGTGGTCACTAGAGATTGTAAGTGGTCTCACAGATCTCTAGTTCAGACAAGTAGAAAAATGTGTAAAAAGTGTCTTAGAATCCATTTAATATATTATATTTAATTTTATTACAAAACTAAAATGTAACTTTTCTATGATGTAGAGAAAGAAATATCACTTTTAATTGAGTAAATATAAAAAAATACAAAATTTTCAAGCACTTTCAAGCTTAATAACTTGTCATTTTTGTTTCTTAAGATGAGTCATTAAGCTCAAAAGTGCATAAACTTCAGTTTTTGTATTTATTACTCCATTAAAAGTAACACTTTTTTCTTAAATTACATTTGTTATATTTACATTACTTTTATAGAAAGTTTTGTTTGTTTACATCTATTTTTGTTTCTATCAAAACAGAAGACGTATTCAATAACTCCTGCCAAAATATTAGCAATGTAACTCTAAAAATGCTGTTTTGAAATAATTGTTTTCATAGTTTTTATCAAAGGTTTAATATTTCCTTCCTATTCAACTATTTGAGTTATCCAATTGATTGTTTTGCTTGTAGCTAGAGCACTTTTTATGTGAAGGTGTTCTAGCAGATTAGTTTTCCTTATCTTTCCAGTTAGTACATCATTTTTAAATTTTATTATTGGTGTAACTAACATCAATACAACATAAAAATTTCAAGTTTTGACCACTTTGTGGTGGAATATTGACATTACACATACATTTTACCATAAACGATTGAAAGTCTCATGGTGCATGTAATTCAAAATAGATGATTTCAGAATTATGTCACTAATGTGCTCAGCAGGAGACAAGTTAATCTGTTTTAAATGATAAAATATATATATATATGTAACTATCAATTTATAAAATTTCTAACTCTATAAACTATGAAACTGACTATAATTTAAGTTAAATTGAAATCAGAAAAATGCGGAATTTAGTATTTAGACAAATGTAATGACTGATTAAATGTATTACTCAAAAATGCATTATTTGGTTTTGATAATTTTTTCTAAATTTTATATATATAATTTTGAAAGATTTTAAGAAAAATTAAGTTAATTAACTTGTTTTTCACTTATTAAATAAAGTAAATTGAAATAATGTATTAATCTAATAGAAATGCAATACTTACTTAAGACTAATTACATATGCTCCATTTTGTTTAGGACTTATTCTAAGCAAAAATGTTCCAGTTGGAAGTTTTTCTATTTTAGCAGTGGCAGTATCACGGTCCATTGTTCCTGAAAACCTGTTAGAGAGCATTTATTTAGTACTAATCTTTACTTAATCATACTATAAACAAGTAAACAAAAATTTTAAATTTCCTTTCCTTTCTGACTTGTGGAGGATTATTGACCTCTTAACTCTAAAATATTTAATAAAAAATGAAGTAAAATCAAAAATTAAAGGTTAAAAAAAACAAACCAGTTTCCAGCAAAGAGAAAAACTTTTTTATTACTGTACACTTTCCCCCAGAGTCAGAAAGAAAAGGAAATTAAAAATTTTTGTGTACTTGTTTATAGTACAGTTAAGTAAAGATTAGTAATAAGTTCTGACTCCATTGCTTTTTAGAATTATATTTTTTACATTATATTTATTTAGTAATTATTTAGCAAATTTTAATAACTTTATTTATATATGTATAGTTAAATGAAAAAATTAATAAATGATAAAAATCATATACATTGGTGCCTCGTATAACGTACTTAATCCGTTCCAGGTTCACGTCCATTAAGTGAAAAGTCCGTTATACGAAACACATTTTTCCATAGAAATACATGTTAAAACATATAATTCTAATATAATGCTAACTTCACTCTTTCTGATGATGTCTTGCTTTGTTTCAATTGAAATCACCTTTCTGTTTTTTTTTTAGAAGCCATGATTTGCACAACACTTGAATAAATGTAAATACCCTGCAATGAGGTGATGTACGTAATAAACAAGGGAGCAAGCCGAATCCTAACAGGAGCTCTGTACTTCAGATATACTAATAATATATTCTAATAATACTAATATATTATAAAAATAGCAGATTGTCATTGGCAACGGCAAAAGAGTGGAAACATCATTCGCACTTGTTTGCAGAAAGACCGTTGTTTGCCTCACGTAACTGCCGAACGGAAAGTCCGTTGTTTGCAGCATCCGTTATAGGAGGCACCACTGTGGTTTGAATAGTTTGAAAATGTTTTCTTTAATTATACAAAATAAATTTTAAAATTTAGTTTCTATTCTAAAAATTTAGTACTTTAGTTATAAAAAGAAATACATTAAAATAAAATAAATGCAGAAACAAAATTTTAGGACTAATTTAATTATATATAGTATCTAAATTAATTAAATTTTTAAACATGTATAGAATATAAATTTGTAATAAAACTAAATTATAAATGGATGTTTACAAGTAAAATGTCCATCATATAAAATTTAATTCATAATATTGGAAAAGTTATAAATTTGCAAAGAAACTGCAGCAGAACCAGGCAAAGTGAAAGTGTTAATGATCATTGCATATGACTTCCAATAAGTCCTCTTGTCTTACTTTATCTTTATTTACTCCTGATACTGCCAGAGCATAATCGGGTTAAATACAGAGATATATCAAAGCACAGGTAAATACATACATAGTAACAGAGAGATAACGTACAAACAGTATGACAATAGAGAAGAAGTATGAACAGATGGTGAAATGACCGATACAAATCAACCGATATGATACGTAACTTGAGAGTAGAATAACATGTACAGCAGTATAAAATAGACAATACTAATACCGTGTTTCCCCGAAAATAAGACAGTGTCTTATATTAATTTTTGCTCTAAAAAATGCACTAGGTCTTATTTTCAGGGGGATGTCTTATATTTCCATGAAGACGAATTCACATTTATTGTTGAACAATACGCTAAACAGGTTCGAGAGAACACCTTGCGACACATTCAACTTAACCTTTTTATAGTGTCCACATCGAGCTCGATGACCAATTAGTGCTTACTGAACCGTAGCACTATGCAAATGTGATGTGGCGTGATTCCCAGCCGACCAATTAGCGATCACCAGCGATAACATTATGCAAATCTGTGATTCCCAAGCCATAGTCTTATGCAAATCATGCCGTGTGGCGTAATTGTCTGCTGACCAATCAGTGGCTGTACTTTCAACTATCTGTCGATGACTGTTACGACTAAAAGAAAACTTACCTAGGTCTTACTTTCAGGGGGAGGTCTTATATTTCGCAATTCAGCAAAATCTGTGCTAGGTCTTATTTTCTGCGGATGTCTTATTTTCGGGGAAACACGGTAGTAATAATAAACATTACACAGATATAGGTTGCAGCAGAACGAATAATGATATGTACAATAACGTATAGGGAGCAAATGAAGACAGTGCCTGATGACAGACTTGACCAACTTAATTAATGAATGACAGAGCATATGTGATACTTATGAATCAATTTTTTGAATGCTTGTAGGTGTCACTATCCTTAAGAAGGACATGAAGTTCAAAAGGTCAATTAATACCCCTGTGGCTAAGAGCAAGGGCAAGCTCATGCCTAGAATCCTCGGTCATTGGACACATGTATATATAGTGCTCAACCCCATCACAGCAATTACAGATGGTACAGATGTCTGTTGCAGATTTGCCAAACCTCTGTAAGTAGGCCCCAAATCTCCCATGCTCAGTGAAGAATTGGGTGGTTTCAAAGTCCGGACTAACCCAATGGTGAAAAAGGTGGTCATGAATAGATGGAAAAACATTCCTGGCAAGGCTATTGTAGCTATCCCATCTTTGCTGCCAGAGATCCAAGCTGTAGTTCCAATGTATTTACAATGCGGTCTTCATTCCCATTATCTCATATGCTGTGGCTGTCTGGGAAAGCAGTGTCTTTCTCAGTCACAACTACCGCCGTCTTCAATCTGCTCAGCATAGGGCCCTTCTCAGGCTCACAAGAGCATATTCTACTGCCTCAAATTATTCTCTTCAGGTCATCAGTTGGAAAACACCTCTGGATCTTCATTTGAGGCACATTGCTTGTACTTATCATATTAGGAAAGGCCACGACATCATTATGTACTCTACCTCCTATGCTGAAGGCACCTATGAGACAGATATACCATTTACCAATCTCCCTCATCCAGCAGTGAGATGTGGGTTTGACACATCCTTTACAGTTGCTGCTGATTATACAATCTTCACAGATGGATCAAAGAATGCAGAGGGCATGGGCTCGGCCTTTGTCGTTTTTGCCAATGAGGACGAAATATATCAGAATTCTGGCACTCCTAACTGCTCTATTAATAATAACGTACAACTACACATCGGAGTTTAATAAATATTACGTACCTCCGAAACCTTTAACTGATGTGAATAAATTTAACATTACTAATGTTTTCAGACCCCTCCTGGGTCCTTCTTCAGGTAAAATCGTCAAACTAACCATTTGTTTCGAAAGAATTTTTCAAAACATCGAACGATAGAACGGCATCACGTGTTCCATATTCCCGAACGTAAAAGTTTCCACGTCATAGCAGAGGCAATTGAAAATATTTTTCTTTTTATTTTTTATATAATTACTGTTGTAAGATCTTTGATGTTAAGCAAAAAACATTATATGCATACTGTCTACCCTTTCGCGGGAGTCCGGCGAAAGTCGCGAATCTGATATGTAGTGTGCAACTTAAGCTCTGCTATCGATCGTCATTTTTGGTAATGTTTTGTTTCAATATGGTACATCTATACATCATTGAATTTGGCATTTCAAGCTCTAAGTGTAAGTGAAATATTTAATTGATCGATAAAGTAATTTCCGAGTTATTTGCGTTTATATATTTGGAACTTTGTTGGCCTCCATCGGGCCCCCGTGTGTGTTTTTTTACGAACTTTCGATGGCTTTGCTAAATACGGCAAGTATTTCACACACTGTCCAAATTTGGTTTTAATTCATCAAGTAATAGCTGAGTAATATTGACTCATAAAAATATCGTTAAACAAAGGACTCAGTACCTCCACGTGATCGACCCAGCCGTTTGGCGTGGTTAAGCCGTGTGGCGCACAGATTTCAGCGATTTTGGTGGCTCTTTTTTGGGATATTAAGGACGGTTTCTGGGACCTTTCAGTGATTGCAGCGGCGGGAGCTAGTTGTTTGTCGTGTGGCTTTTCGCGACAGTTGATTTCTTCTTGCATCTAGTGCGTCGACACTTGTATCGACACTTGCATCTAGTGTGACGTGCCACATTTTTGTTAATTTTACAACGACTCTTATTTCAAACATTCTTCTACTTCCGCACATGGTTAACACATTCGGCATGGCAAGCGACGCCACAACTAAATTATTCTTGATAATTCCCTTGCCTTACTTGATGAGGTCAAGGACTACTGCAACAACAACCCAACTGGGCGTCTAAATAATCTTCACCACGTGAAATATTTGACTGAACAGTTTGCCAAAGTAATCAGCATGGCTGAGGCAACCCTACGTGAGCAAACAATAACCGAGGTAATCGAGAAAAAATTAGCACTCTTGCCCACTAAAGAAGATTTGCAACAAATTATGACTGCATCAGAAGACAAAACCAAAGAAATAGTTGCCGATCTCAAACAGGCAAATAGTCGCAATGTGGGTCCCACCCCTCCTTCCTATAGCACTGTACTTAGATCTGGCTTAAACGTCACCTCATCACAAAAGACGAAGGCTACAAGGCAGGGTAAAGAAGTCCTCCTTATCTACAACAAAGAAGATGATAACAGCGATCAAACCTGGAAAACTTTGCAACAGAATATCCAACCATCTAAACTTGGAATAGGAGTTAATCGCATACGTCGTATCGGATCTGGTGGAGTTTCAATAGACCTAAACAGTCAAGAGGATGTCGAAAAGCTTGAAAAAACCGTTTATGAAAACATCCCCAATCTACAGACTAAAAGACCAAAAAAGAAAAGGCCGCACGTAATTGTATTCTCTGTTCATAAACAAATTGCTAGAGAGGATCTAATTAAGATGGTCTACGAACAGAACGAAATACTAAATCAAAGCTACAATAAAGAAGACTTCAGTGAAAAATTCAATATCAAGTTCAACTCTGGCAAACATGAAGGACAATACTGCAACTGGGTTGTGGAGGTGGCTCCCCAACTAAGACGGCAGCTTCTAATTATTGAGAAATTAAACATCAACTGGTCTCGCTGTACAGTTGCTGACTTTGTTCCAACATTGCAATGTTACAGATGTTGTGGATTCGGTCACTCTACGA